ACAAAATGTTTTGTTACATCAAAAAGGTGAGATTGTTGAACTAAGTTTCAATTGTTGAACCAAGTATTTTTTTAGTTAACCCACATTTTATAAACATCATTTTTAAAGCTCAAAACACTTAATTTTTTCCAAACCACCATCCAGCCTCAAGACCATCTATTCAATCTCGATAACAAAATTACAGAATGTATTTTGGTATCGATACCAAGGTCTCAGTCTCGAGACCAGTGGGCTAGTATCAATATTAATTCAAGTAGTATCGATACTAGAGGTTTAACGACTATAACTTTGACCATTGAAAGGTTTGGTCTCGAGATCAACTTGTTGGTATCGATACCAAATGTAGAGGTGAGCATTAAATGTTCAAAATTAATGAATCCAATGTCTCTATTCAATCCTAAATGACACCAAACGACTAGATTGATGTTAGAAGACATAAAAGGGAACAATATTCAAATAAAGAACAACAAGAAATTCAATTGCAAGATCAAACCAACATCAATAGTGTTTTGGAGCTAAAATTGTCAAATATTTTGTAACACACTTGTGAGCTACATTGTTAATTTTGCTCAAGTATGATTCTTGGTGAGTGCTTAATTTGTGCAAACATGTTTGCCTTTTGTGAGGTTTTTCTTTTGTTTGCTAAATTTGTAATTTCTCTTTAGCAGAGTGTGTAAACAAAGTTTTGGGGTATAAACCTTGTGTGTCTTTGTAAGGTTACACCTTATCCTAAAAGCTCTGTAAATTTAATGGATTTGAGAAATCCTTAGTGTGGATAGCTAAAGTAGTGGATGTAAACTTGGTTTAGAAGTCGAACCACTCTAAATTGTTGTGCAAAGTTTTTATTCTTCAATTGCATCCACCAAAATCATTCAAAGGCCAATTCACCCCCTCTTGGCATTTTTTCGGTTCTTCGTAAGAGCCAACAATACATATATCAAAATAATACACTCGAGTATTCAAAATAGAGTTACAAATCAAGTACAAGAGCGTCTATGAATAATACATGTCCACTAAAGGAAAGAGACTCAAGACATACTTTGTTGTTTCTCGGACTATCTGGAATGTCAAGTACACGATAAACTCCTTGGATGCTCCTCCTAAGAACTTGCATACGAAAACAATTTCTAAACGCTGATCTCACTAGCTCAGTGCCACACTAATAACTAAATCATACTAAAAGTGTTCATTAAATGGTCACGCTAACAAGTAAAATAAAAGGAGTGAGTATACAGGTATACTACACTTGATACTAGGGTAGGCATCATGGTGTGATTCGGAGGGTTGCAACATCTTGGGACGCACACCTCTCTAGCCTACCTCGGGTGAGATTCGAAAGTTTTGCGTCGAAAAAAACACCCTGTTATCCCACCCCTTGCGATTGTTCGATCCTCGCGCCCAAGTTAGCCACAGAAGTGCCTCGCGCACTTGTTTAGATATATCTGAATATTCTACATCATAAGATGATCATCATTTGCTAAAGTAACTTAGGAGTCTGGTCTGTTTCTTGAGCATTAAACAAGGCCAGTTTTATGTCATCTTAACTGATATTGTTCTAACTGTAATTGAAAATTATCATGGTTTTAACTTGTAATTTTGTTTGAAGGAATAGTGGTACTATTTGGTCCCTCAATTATCACTCTTAAATTCATTGGGTTCTTTACTCAAAAATGTATGATGGTACCGATATTGATCCTCTGAGTATCGACACTGACCCTTAGTTATCGATACTTACCATGTGGTACTGATATTGATGACTATTGGAATTGTAAAGATAAGAGGTTGTATCGATACCCTTAACTAGAGTATCGATACTTTTGAGGTGGGTTATCGATATTATCCTATGTATAGATACCAAATATAGATTCGATGTTTTGAAAAATAACCAGTATTAATACCCCTAGAGAGAGTATCGATACTCCACCCTTGGTACCGATACTCCAATGAGTACCGATACTAAAATTGACTACTATATCCAAAATAGGTATCGATGCTCTCTTTGAGTATCAATAATATCCCAACAATATTGATACCACAAGTCTAAAAACTCCTTATTTTTAGGCTATCCGAAGAACAATATCGGTGTTGTTCATTCAGTACCAATATTTGAACCCAAAAATGCCCTACTTGGGCACGAAAATGACTTCTCAAAACTCCCAAAAGCATTACTGAGGTACATAAGTGTTAATTAAGTCTTATATATGATAGTAGCGATCATGATATGCCATTAAAAATGTTGATTGACACCTTCAATCATGATTTACCATGAATGTCTACTCATGCTTCATGAACTCATTACTCACTAGCTAGATGAATTTCATTGACTCATAAATGGTATGAAAAAGTTTTGAATTTGTTAACTTAGCTTCCTAGTTGCTGAAAATACCCTCAAATCAACCAAGGACCAATTTCTCATTTCCTCTATCCTTGGAACTTTCCTCCAACTCTTTCACTATACAAACATTATAAAAATGGCCTCCACCTTACTTTAGAGCTCATAGAGTGATTTAAAAGCACTTTTTAAGGTCCAAATCCCTCTAAAAATGGGTTAAAACTCTTGCTATCTAAATCCTCACTAAACCCATTTTTGGTTTCTATAGCCAAAATTTGATCTTAAAGGCTTGAATGAAAGCTTAGGAGATAGGAATTTCATTTATTATGTTGGAATATATGATCTAGGCTTGCAAGACTAAAAGCTTTAACCTTTGTTCAACTCTTGGAGAGGAAGAAGAAATGAAGACAAAGAAGAGTGTGGTGAAAAAAGGAAAAACAGACGTGAGATCATCAAATTAATGAAAGTTCAGCCTTTCCCAATAAGAAATGGTATAATCACTCCTTTGGTCCTTCCATTTTTTTATTTTCACTTAAAATGGCTCTTTTAACTCTAAGTGGGCCCAAACCAAGCCCAAACTTACTCAAACATGGACTAACACTTTCTATAAACTAATGGGTTTACCCAAAACTATCTCAGATTAACCTAAAACTCCTAACCCGAGATCCAGGGAATCATATTTGGGATGTGGTCTAATAGAAATCTGAGTTATGGGGGTAGGTTGTAACTTATCAAGGTTGTTCTTTGTAGCATTTTTCACTATTGGAGTCGATAACTTGTTTTGCCTAAAGTTGTGATCCTTAGGATTGAGCAACTGTGCATGTGTTTCTTTGGGAAAGACATTGTTTCTACTGCTAAGGGAGCTCGGATGAGTTGCCATCAGGTCTATATGTTGAATTCTGAGAGGGAATGGGTCTTAAGAGTCTTGTCTGTTGGAATCAGACATGTTGTTTGATCTTGGTAAGGAATATCTTGGCCGATAAAGAATTCCTTCGGGTTGCTTGAGTCAAGGACTATGTCCTGAAAGACTCTAATTTCTGGTAAGTGGATTGCAAGGCTCACTACAGTTGGATTCTTATGAAGCTGTTAAAGCTTCATGAGGTTTCTGGTAGATTGTTTACTAATTGTGTTGATGAATAGTAGTTGGGTTTAGGATAATGTGAGGGATATGAGGGATAAGGTGCAGTGGCATAAGTTTATCTGGTTTCTTTTCCATGTTCCAAAGCATGCTATTGTGGCTTGGATGACTATCTTGGGCAGGTTACCTACCAAAGATAGACTTGCTTAGATGGGGGTTGTCACGGATAGTCAGTGTTGTTTATGTATTTTAACTGATGAATTCAGGGGTCACTTATTTTCAGAGTGTTCTTTTTCTTACAGCACTTGGGGTATGGTATTTTCTACTTGCGGCCTTCAACATTAACCCCTGTGTTAGGAGAAAGGCTTGACTTGGGCGATTGAGAACCTGAAGGTTAAGCCTCTCATTGTACATATCCTTAAACTTGCTTGGGTTGGTTTTGTTTATTGTATCTGATAGGAACTTAATCATAGAATCTATAGGAGGATTGTTCGCTCTGTGAATGATGTAGTTAAATGCATTAAGGAAGTAGTTCGAGTCAAATTGTCTAGATCATATATTGATAAGGCTAATAAGGTGAATTCGAATTTGTGTGAGGAGTGGGGGCTTGCTTAGTTCTGTGGATTTTGATCCAGTTTGATGTATGTCATGTGCAACTTTTGTTACTCTTCTTGGATAATATATGAAACTAACACACTCAACCAAAAAAACTATCATTTTTAGTTCATTTTAGTATCTAAACTTTCAATTTTTTCAAAATTTGACGTTAAATTTTGAACTGGTACTAAAATGAAACAAAAATTAAATTTTAGGTATGGTTTTGAAAAAAATGGAAGTTTAGGTACTAAATTAATAATTTAGGTACTAAATATGTAATTCATCCTAAATTATATTAATTTTATTATTAATGTCTAATTTTAATAATTATCATATTAATTGTAATTTTATTAATAACATTTAAATAATTAAATAAAAAAATCTCATAAGTGAAGGTGTGTAATATATATATATGTGTGTTTCTTAGATGCTCAATAATTAACGTTATTTACCTAATTCGCTTAAATTGTTTTTGTTTATTGCATAACTACCCCCCAATTATCGACTAGTGGACGAGATTTCTGTTAATTTCTTAAGATCTGGGCCATGGACTATTGAATGGTTTAAACTTGCAGGGAGTTCATAAAAGTTAAAAAATGATAAAGAGGAAACGAATATACGGATTAACAAAGAAGAGTGAAGCTTGGTCATGGCCTCTCTTCTCAGTCCATCTGCAGCAATTTCTTGTCAGCACAAGGTAAACTTTATTGGCTATCAAAATGATTCTTACAATCATTAAATTGAATTTTTTTGATCGTAAAAATGATTAAGATATTGAGAATTATGTAGATGAGCTGACTTTGTTTTTGTTTTGTTTTTTTTTCACTGTAAAATGTTTGCATTCGAAGACTGGGATTTATTACTCGATTCGAGTATGAAAACTTGTGCTTAGGTTAGGGGAGATGAAATTCGAATCGTATACTATTGGATTGCGCACAAATTGAGCTGAACTTAGAGATCGATGTTTTTATTTACTTTTGGTTTTCCGGCTGACGGGAATCGTTCGAGTTTAAGTGCCCCTATCGGCTAATACATAAACGCCATCCAAAAATTTCCCATGCTTTCCCTGGAAATGGGAGATGCCAAAGGTTAAGTTTCGAGACAAAAGCTACAGGTTCCGTGGAAGGAAACGTAGTCGACAAAGAGTCAGCTGGTACCAGTGAAAAGATAGGTATCTTTTATGCTCTTATTTAGTGTTATTCTGTCAGGTTTGCAATACAGTCATTAGATATATAGTCTCCTGAAAGCAATCTTGGAAGCCATGATTTCTCTGAGTTATTCAGAGCTCTAAAGAGCGTAATGGGCATCAGTTATAACCCTGTTGTAGCTTACCTGGCCTTTTCAAGCATCTTTGAAAATTTTGATTTTGAACCACCAAGACAACATATTAACATATCATCTGTATTTCATGTTTCTCTGATTATTCAATATAACTAATTATTTTTTAAAACAAAATTAATGCAAATATGCTGTGTTTTGGGTCATTTTGCTGAGAATTGCATCCAGACTAGAGTTTGTCACTCTGCGGTGAACTTTACAGGCAAAATAGAACTTCTATTATTTATCTACAACCTTTTAGTAAAGAGTGTGTGTACATATTTTATTGGTTGCTTTCTCCTAAATCTGACGTTTTCCAATTTTAGGATGATATTACGTTTTAAGTATCGTCGTTGATGTAGACTATGGAGTTGTCGGTATGCACCATGTTGGTATTCTATGTGAAAACCTTGAAAGATCTCTTGAATTTTATCAGAATGTTTTAGGTATGTAATCCCTTTTCTATATTCATATTACAAATTCATTTGTTTTGGTAAGAAAGAAGATAGAAGCTCAGCATCTGCTTCTAAATGTTTAGGTCTTGAAATAAATGCTGCTAGGCCACATGATAAGCTTCCATATAGAGGTGCTTGGTTGTGGGTGGGTTCGGAGATGATTCATTTGATGGAACTCCCAAACCCAGACCCCTTAACCGGAAGACCTGAACATGGAGGCCGTGACCGTCATGCCTGTATTTCAATTCGAGACGTATCTAAGCTGCATGCAATCCTTGACAAAGCTGGTAAGATCCTTTTGCCTTCATTCCAGGTTCATCCATGTGAAATAATATCTCACCGTGGTATCTTTTAGTTTCTAGCTTTTTAATGGCAGATTTCGCATGAGGCTCTGTAGGTTATGAACGGATGGAGGATATCTTATTGTAATATTGTTACATATTGCAGGTATTCCCTCAACACTTAGCCGATCCAGGAGGCCAGCAATTTTCACAAAAGATTCAGATGCAAATGCTCTAGAATTCACATAAGTTTGATGCACGAGGTGTATTAGCATTCAAAACCTGGATTTCTTCATAGATGGTATCCCAGGTCCCTTTTTCTCTCAGGATCCAGATCATGTATATAATAATAGAAAATGCCAAGGATTTACATTTTGAATTATATTCTAAGACAGCTTATAAATAGAAAAATCTTTATACTAGTGTTTATTCTCTTTCATGCATACTGACTGTGCTCTTCAAAATCACATCTAGTTCTTGTAGACATCAATCTGTGCAGACATTTTTTCTATTTATATTTGATTTCTTTGGCTGCGGTGGGATGGATGGATGGTTCTTTTTCATCTTGAAACCATGGCATGCAACCTGCTTAACGTAATGTACTAGATATCACCCGTGACTTCCAGTCATGTATGTAGGGATGGCCATGGATCGGGTTTCGGCCAACCCGACCCGACCCAACCCAAAAATATATACCCTTCACCCGACCCGACTTTTTGAGATTTTATCCGAACCCGATCCGACCCGACCCGACCCGAAATAATAAAAAAATATTATTTTTATTCAATAAAAATATTGATTTAATTGAAAAAATAATATATAGAGGGGTATTATTTTAATTATTCCTAATATATAAGGTAAAATTATATTTTTTGGGGTCGGGTATTTTTCACCTAAACCTGAATCCGATTCCGACCCGAACTGAGCATCACCTTTAAAAAACCCAACCCGAACCTAATTTAAAAAAAAAAAAACCGACCCGATCGATTTGGGTCGGGTCGGAATCTGTCGGGTTCGGGTCCCATGCCCATCCGTACATCATGTATGGCAGAGCGCAATGTGTGATTCGGAGTCACTACAGAACGCTGAAGCCAACGCTTTGTAACTGGTGATATGTTGTGTTTCTCAAGCCATGCCTTTATTGCTCTGAGCTCATATGTAAAACCATCAGCAGCAACGTGAGAGTCGTCCATCACTTTCTTTATTACCAAAAAGGAAAAAAGAAAAGAAAAATTATTGAGAATGCAACCATACAGGATTGTGCTTAAGCCATGAATCAGTTCTGCTAACAGTTCTCAACCTGAAGGATTGAACAGGAGTAGTGGCTCGAAGCATATGCATTGTTCTTTTCCAATTTTAAACTTGCATCTGCAACATCGACGAGTCTCTTGAGAATTGAAAGAACCCCGGTGTCATGATCAGGCCTGTCCCTGCATCTAAGCTTTGTACACTTCAATGCTATCTGAGCTAATTCTTCTGTCTCAGCTAGTGGCCAATCTGTAATTGACTGGTCTAGAATCTCAGCTAAGGAGCAATTTTAAATGGCATTTTCAACTGCCAGTAGAATTTCATTTGGATGTCGACCTGTCAGTAAGTGGAGTATTGTAACTCCAAGAGCATATATATCTGATTTTGGTCTAACTGTGCCAGTTCTCTGATACTCAGGATCCATGTAGTAGAGAGTACCAGCAAGAATAGAGTCTCGGTACTCGGTGATATTGTCAGGCGCAACATCTGAAATAAGCTTAGCAAGCCCGAAGTCCCCGATTTTGCTCACATAGTTTCTATCTAACAGTATATTAGCCGGTTTAAATCTCTATATACGATAGGATCTGGCTTCGAGTTGTGTAAAAAAGCAATCCCATAAGCTACTTCGAAAAGTATACGAAACCGAATAAACCAAGGAAGAGGAGGTTTTCCCTTTTTCTGGAGAATATGTTCGTCCAGGCTACCATTTTCCAAGTATTCATAAACCAACCAACCATTCTCAGGACAAGCTCCAAGAAGCAAAACAATATGTGGCTGGTGCAGCTGGCTTAGAACTTCAACCTGCAAATTTTTTTTAAGTGAAATTGTTTATCAGTTCGTAAACATGACTGCAACTACAAACTATGCGCTATCGAAACTTACCTCCTTCAGAAATTCCTCTTTCCGTTCTAATGCATCAGGTTGGAGAACCTTAACAGCTACAGGAGTTCCATGAAGACTACATTTAGACTTTCCCATATCCTCCCTGACCAATGACGTTACTCTCGGAGAAGAAATCTGTTACTGCTTCAATCTCATCCTTAGTGTATCTTCTGTACCTTCGGTCACTACAGAAGAGTGTATCGACAAGTTTCTGCTTCTCCAACGATTCTTTACAAGCATTCAGTTCAGCCATCTGCCTTTCATACACTTCTTTTGAAAGCAAGTTTTTCGCCTCTTCAACCTCTTTCATTGCTTGGGAAAGTTTTGCTTTCTCCTCTGCAGCAATTTTCCTAAAAGTTTCTTCTCTTTCCTGAGCAGCATTCACTCTCCTTGGTTCCTCAAGGCATTTCGAAGAAAGTAATTGGACCTGCAAATCAAAGCATAAAGGCTACATTCAATAGTATGAATAAAAGGCCACAATGGTTCAAAATCCAGTAATTCCAGAACATATATATCTATTCTTTTGTGAACTGCAAACCGCTTTATGTCAATGTGTGGCATTTGTTGCAAGAGGATAAATAAGTGAACATTATGAAGTGGTCGTTTCCTCACCTTGTTCCGGGTGTCGACAAGCTCTTTACAAGCTTGTTTGTACAAGGCGACGGTATTTTGTAATTCTAGACGCAGCTGTTCCACTTCAGCCTGCAGATTCAAATGCGCATATATTATGTAAATAATCATCCAGAGGGCACATGAAACTGAAGAATTATCAAAATGCTCGAGAAAACTCACCTGTTCACTCTTTGTAGGAGGCAAGGAATGAGACGGACTAATTGTACTAGCATTTGATGAAGATCCAATTGATGAAAATGCATGTAAATATGTGTAGTTAAACTCCGATTCGGATGCTCTCCCGAAGGCAACAGAATCAAATATATGTTTATTAATGCCACCGGAACTCCCTTTTAGATCTGCTGCAGTAAATACCGGTGGTCTATGGCTGGTCCCTGTGACATTTTGATAGAGAGAACCCTGACTTTCAGTGCACGGATAAACATAGAAGCAATTTTTTCTTACTGCTAGTCCGCATGGGATTAGCTGATCTCGAGACGATTCTTTGCCTAAAAACAACCCGAATATCACAAGTATTCGGAGCACACTTCAGGACAGTATGAGGTACCCCAGGACCCTTCAGCTTCCTATAGTACACACCGCAGAAGATTATTCCATAGCAATGAAAAGCTAACAGGCATCTGAAAAACTAGCTCACCAACATTTCCCACGCAAAAGCTTTATTTTCGACTTTCATAAAGCAAATCTTGCAGAAAAATGGATGCCATTAAACACAGTACATACATTCTCATAGATTTCGAGTTTTCCCGGTAAACAAACAGCTGCAATGCATACCTTGTTATACAATAGGCACCATAAGAACCCAATACCAAAGTGTCAATCCCAAACTCAGAAATGTATCTTAGAAGTCCAGTTGCAGGATAGTCATCCTCGAGAACGATTGTTTCCACCTACCAAAAATAGAAAAATATGTTCATAATGAAAACCAGGAGAGAAGATCTACATAATTTAGATTTTATTTGCAGAAGAAAACCCACCTTTTTAGCTTTGAATAGATGAAGATATGGTATGAACACTTCCTCAAACTTAAGTTTCACTTCTTGAACATACATTGCCACCGCATTGTCATCCATTTCTGTGATGGGTATTTGTTCTCCTGCTGCCGTAATCATATACAAGTAATCAACATAAATGTAACCGGGACAACTTATAAAATTTTAAGAAGATAATTAATATAAAGCATAGAGAAAATATCAAAATATATAAAAATTTAAAATTTAAAATTTTCGTGAGACTTCGGTCGATTCCAAAGTGTAACACCAAAAGTTTTTCACCATAGCTATTCACTATGAAAACTATTTTGTTCTTTTTGTAACTTAATATATTTACATGCACAATAGTTAAAGTTCCTTGAGTTGAATTCTTTTTTTTTTCTTTCTAGAAAACTACGATCACCCATTATTCCATTACTCAATATCTCCGAATCCATACAACTTTCACAAGTTTAATTCAATTTGAGCATCATTTGATCAAATAAAAAAGAGTTACGAGAACAGTAAACTCGTATAATCAAATACTTATATGGAGTTGGGACAGAGGTGATTTCTGGAATGACGTGGACCAAAACGAAACGATCAGCTTTCAAATTCTGCACCGCCCATAGGACAGCTCATATGCTACCGTTTCCTCTCTTCACGGTAATCGCAACGGTCGTCATCTTCGGCGGAGAACCACTGCTGCTGGCAGTAGCCACGCTCATGTCGTGTCGTTCAAATTTAGAAGTTTGCGATTTTACGTTTCTGAAACCTTGTTGCAGGTAGCGTTGACGACGGGCCATTTTGACATTGTATTTAGGGTGTGTTTGGTTGGAGAACGTGAGATTACTATGGGAATGTAATTCATATTTCTCCGTTTGGTTGGTCGGAAATGTCATTCCCGATAATTTTATATTATTAATAGTAGATTTTGTTGGTTATATTACCGGGAATGTCATTATCTTTCTTTCTTTAGGTATTATTAGATTACTGACGTTTTTGACTAAAATGCCCTTAAAAAAATTTCTTTCAAAAATATCTTTATTTTGTCATTGAATAATAAAAATTCTACGAAGGTTCAATTACAAATTTATCCTTAAACTATTTTAGATTTACAAAAAAAAAAAACTATAATTAAAATATTATACGAAGTTCAGGGGTTAATATAAAATTTTACCCTTTCATTAAACCTTTTTATATTTTTAATTTTGTAAAAAAATTTATATAAATTTTATGAATTTAAATTTTTTAAAGAAAATATATAAATATTTTCCAACTTATTAAAAAAACAAATATATAATAAGGACAATTTGGTCAAATATACATTCTAATAATATTTTATTCATTTAACTAAACACGGTAATCTTACATTCCTGTTAAACCAACCAAACACAAAATACAACATTCCCAGTAATCATATTCCCTGGTAATCTTTTATTCCAACTGGTAATCTTACATTTTTGAACCAAACGCACCCTTAAGATAAATTAAACTTACAACGGTCCATGTCAATACCAACCTTTTATTTCATTTTAGTGTCACAGTTCAAAATTTAACATTAAGTTTTGAAGAAAAAAAATTGAAAGTTTAAGTATTAAAACAAACAAAAAATGATAGTTTAGGTTCTAAATGTGTTTTTTTAATGACATGTATTAAAATGAAACAAAAACTAAACGTTAGGTATGATTTTTAAAAAAATTAATGTTAAATTACACTTAAAACGTCAACAACCTCACAGTTGAGCAAAGGAAGAGTGGATGCAATTTGGAAATCTGTTAATTCTGTTGAAATGATTTTGGCGTAGATGTATATTGGTGTATCCACTCAATATCAGACCTATTAGTCGAGTAATCTGGATTCAGATTCTATAGATACTTATTATCAGAACGATAAAGACAAAGACATCTATGCCAGTAAACGAATCGAACGCACACGAACGGAGGTATATTCATGTTCGTTCATTTAATAAATAAACGAACACGAACATAAACGAACAAAATTTCTTTTGTTCATGTTCGTTCATTAAGGAATATAGTTTGTTCATGTTCGTTTATTAAATAAACGAACACGAATGAACGAATATAAACGAACACAATAAACGAACAACTCAAACACAAAAAAACTTATTCGAACACAACAAACAAATGTAAAAAAAATAAACAACATGAATAACAACTTAAAATTCATTAATATAACCAGTAACTTTAGAGTTAATTTGTTCGAATACGACAAAAACATACATAAATCATAAATAAGCTATATGAACATAATAAAGTTTTAAAGTTAATTTGTTCAACAAAACAATCTTCTTGAAATCCAAACAACTTCAATAATCTTCTTGAAATCAAAACAACTTCAATAATATTTGTAATATATTCAACTTGCCCTCTGTTCGAATATAAATAAACGAACATAAACGAACATATAATCAAATGTTCACTTCGTTCATGTTCATTCATTTAATTAAACAAACGCAAAATCTTATTCATGTTCATAAACTAACTTCCCACCGCACGGTTCATGAACGGTTCGCTGAACGTTCAGTTCATTTACAGGACTAAAGACAATAAGTATATTAAGCAATTGAAAACAGTGAGAACAATGTAAAAACTAAGAAACAAACCACATGCATAATCTTAACATTATTGGTGTCCATGGAACAATATTGCCTTTGCCAATACAATAAAGGCTGCTCTTTCATGCACTGCAAACCAGATACTTGGTTGTGGATATGCAGTGGAACAAGAAATATGATGAAATCCAGACATGACTGCAGGACCAAAGCTAAAACATGCCAACCTATAAGAGTACAAGACCTAGCTCCGATGTTCTCAAGGCGTTTCGTATCCTGTAATTATATAGGTAGTAGTGGAGTTGTCCATCACCCGGACCGAATTTTAATTCTTTGAGGAAAGACTCGTTATGCATGGCATCCGGTGTGTTGAAAACATCGAAATCCTTCTTTTTAGCAACAATAAGTGCATCATTCATCAGCTGAAGAAGTGGAGTCTTGGTGGATACATTGTAGTAAGAGTAGGCAGCTTTCAAAATAGAATAGTTCTGGTTGCCAAGAATGGATGAGGAAAGAGTGTAGAAACTGTAGAAGTCTGTTAAGTCATGTGTCTTAGGGCTCTCAACCACGTAACTGTCGATGACATCTTCAGTAGGAAGAAGCCAGTGCTCCACGTCGTTCTCGTCAAAGTCCGGAGAAACAACAAACTGGCTCAAGTATTGTCTAAGCAACCTAGTGACAGCAGGGACATCACGAAGCTCCATTTTTCTGAATCCAGGGGTGACAGGTTGATCGGGTAACTTGTAGAGTTTAATGGTCCGGCTCATGGTCATCCTAGGCCCAAGTCTAGAAAAGCCAACATCAATAAGCTTCTTAGGGTTCAACGACCTATGCCAGTACTGGCAAGTAGTAATTGGTGTCGGAAGAACAACTCCGGCGGTATAAGCTGCTTGCCAAATATTCTCCAAATGAACTCTCCTAGTAACCTCCTTAATCATCACTGGCGCCAGTCTCTTTGATCTCAGCTTCTTATGAACACATAAGAAGTTGATCTCTGCCATCTTCACAACTTCATCACGCACCCTTATTCTTGCAGGGACACCAGTAATAAAGGCAACAAGCTTCTTCGACGTCTTGGCACGGACCCCAATATGCCAGCTCTTGTAATAACCAGGAGGACGCAAAGCCCACCTGAGAAACTCCTTGGAATAGTTGAACCTAAACATATTCTCATCGTCCTCCACATAATTGTTCTTCAAGAGATTATAAACCTCGTTACAAGTCTCTTCGGAATCCATATTGCAAGTCGTCCATTCGTATTGACTCGGAAGGTTATAAGGTTCCTGTTTGACTTCAGACAATGGGGTCGGCGGCTCGATCGGGCCTTCAGGTAAACTCGTGTCCCCAACATCCTTAAATTGACCAACAGGCTGAGTTTCCCAAAACTTGTGTCTCTTGGATAAGGACATGGAATCCTGAAACCTCCGAACTATGTTTTCGAGTGAGCTATCATCTTTGGGCAATGGGTTAGCCTCAGAAGTATGCTCTGGGTTTCCTTTGGGAGAGCCAGGTGGTGAATTGTTCTCGGTCATTTCAGGGAATAAATTAATTTCAGCAACTTCTAATATACCCAGAAGATGGCTTGAATGTCTCAGCTATTTTCTCAATATATACCTGATTTTATAGAGTAAATTTGATGAAGGTTCATGTTAAAAACAGAGCAAAAACAGCACAGCCAATAGTGAAAACATTTAGCTGTAAATCAATTGGGACTTTTACAATCAAATACAGTCATATAACAAAGGCATTCACAGAAGAATTGCAATACAATGAGAAAACACATCTGCGAGATTAAGTAGAAATGATTACAAGAAATACACAACTTACTCGGTTTCAAAGGACAAAACTTCAGCAGATTCTGATTCAAGGGAATGTGAGGAGATTTCGAGAAGAGAAAAATATTAAATCAGATCTGCAAAGCCAAATAATTAGATAAATTACTATTATTTTTCTCGGATTTATTTAGGCAAAGGGGGAATCTTTAGGGTTTTCTCCAAGACAGCGGCTTTGAAAATGCCGAAACTCGTCGATCTTGGTCAATGGTAACACTCGCGCAGTGACGCTGACTGAAACATTCCGTTTTTGTTAGGTCAAACTTTATAAGAAGTCCCTGTTTTATTCAATTCTGTCATATGATCTTTCTATTTTATTTGATGTATTCTAATTTTATATTTCAGAGATATTATTTTCAAAACAAAAATTAAATAGTTGTATATTTATTATTTATACTTTAAATTAAATAAATTGAAAGTATAAATTAGAAAATATCAAATTACAATAAAGAGATCAAATTCATTAATAAAATATAGGACAGGGACTTTCTACAGAGTTTGACCTTTTAATTAATCAGCTAAACGACATCGTTTCCTTTGCTTTTAGTCCCCAAAATAATCTTGGGCTGCTGGCCCTTTTTAGAGGCTATTACATGAAAGCGACGCCGTTTAAAAGTTTTAACTATGACCTTTCGCCCTGCTCTCTCCTTCAGGCTCTGGTATTGTCAGTGAAGTGAACCAAAGGCAGAGCTGCTCGGAGCTCCACAGACGATCCAAACCCGATAAAGATTCGAATCAAAGGAGAATGTGCGGGGACGCTACAAACTGGGACGAAGAAGCGTACAGAGAGAGAATATTAAGGGACAGAGAGATCCAAACCCGAACCGTATTCCGAACCGTTTGGGCTCCTTCCTTGAACCCTAACCCGGAATGTGTCGTCGTGGCCTCTAGCGATGGCTCGATTGCTCCTTACTCCATTTCTTCCTGCGTATCCAAACACGTGAGTCTTTTTTTTTCTTTTCATCCAATGAAGAAAGGAAAAAGAATTTAATTGAAAGGTAGAAATGTTTCTCAGCTGAATTTCGCCTTTGTTTGCAGCCGGTTGGTTTCTGCAGTGCTAGGGCTCAGCGGTAAAATAACTTCTATATCGGTGCAGTGTTAAATTAATTGATTGATTACCGTTTCCAGTTTGAGTGAGAAGTATAAGTGATTATGTTTGATAGATTGTTACCGGCTAAGCCGGAGGGATTCCTCGAAGGACATGATGGACCTGCGTATGATGTGAAATTCTACGGCAACGGCGAAGATTCCTTGTTATTAAGGTGTAGTTCAATATTATGCAATTGATTTTTTCCATTTTTTGTTCGCGTTTAATTGTGTACATTAAAAGTAGGAAATGGTTTTGTTTAGCGTTGTTGAGCTTATGTTAAGCTCGAGCTGAATCTTGACATTTGTTCATTAACTTAACAAAGGTTGACTTGATCTCATCACTATTGGTTGGTGAACCCTTGATAAATATGAATTATAGTATGGAGTGTGGACTTTTTTTTCTTTTTGCAGTTGTGGTGATGACGGTAAAATTAAAGGATGGAGGTGGAAGGAATTTACTGAATCGGAGGTGCCTATTACCTTTCAAGTTACCGGATTTTGGAACTCTGGATTTTTTTAAAACTAGATAATGGTTATGTGAGACTAATACATAATTCATGGATTCAATGGGGAAGGGGATGTACTTTGTGCTTTAAATGTTGGCCATCTGTTTTTTCACTCTTGGTCTTTGACTCTCAGACGAGCAGAGACCCAATTGATATTGTCCTGTCATTCAAATGCCCCCCTGGGGTCATAATTTGCCAATTTAGTTTTGATTTTTTGCAGGAAATCATATGAAGCCAGTGCTTGATTTGATCAATCCCCAAGATAGGTGCGTAATCACAGTTTATGGTAGATGCTCTTGTGTGTTTTAGTGCATACCATTTGCTCCCTTGACTCTTGTGTTAATGGAGATGTTGCCTTTTGAGCAGGGTTTCAAATCACTGTCCGAAAACGTGATAGCGCCCTCGAAATAGCGGTTTCGCCGCCATCCGATTTACCCGCTACACCCGCAATAGCGCCCGCGACGGCCGCAATCACGGTAAACCCGAAAACGCTACCGCGACCGCGATTTGAAGCCCTGCTTTTGAGTCTAAAAATCATTTTCGATTTGGAAAATAATTAGATCACTGAATAGAAATTTCTTGTCTAATCAACTTAACTCCCCCTCTCTTGGTGCAAATATTCTAATTGCTGTTGTCAGAGGTCCATGGGGGGCTCTCTCTCCAATTCCGGAGAATAATGCCATTGCTGTTGATCCTCAAGTTTTTAAATACCTTCCCTGCATTTGCTTATATTTATGGAAAATTATGTTTTAAGATTTTATTTCTTCTTTGCACTCTCTTCTAAAACAGGGGGGATCCATCTTTTCTGCTGCCGGTGATTCTTGTGCATACTGCTGGGATGTCATATGTTTTTGTTAAAATGAATCTATTCATGTTTTCTCTGAGAGGTGGTTTTTAATATTTTCCTTTTTTTTCATTAAAAATTAGTTGACCCTATTCCCATATGTAATGGGGTAAGAGGAGGTAGGGTAGTAGGCTGCCCCCAACGCTAGGTTGAGAGCAACTTCCGTGGAAGACAAGATGGTTTTTAAGGAGAAGGGTGAAATCAAAATGGTTTTTAAGGGACACACCGGCTATTTGCATTGTGTACTAGTTTTTGTGCCTCTTCCAGTCAGGTCAACTTTTCCTCTCTTCGTGATTATTTATTTTGGTTGTTAATTTAATTTGGCTTTCAGACAGCAAAGTAGTGATCCTTAGTGCCACAGCTTAGCACTTTTTAGCTTCAGTTGGGTTTCCTTTTATCATGAAGACTGAACTTTTTGGGTTGACATTTTATTCATTTTACTCATACAAGGAGCTTCTGTTGTGCTGATGGTATATGTTCTATGCTAATTGTTGCATCCATGCATCTAAGGTTGAGAATTGAGACTTTCAGTTACTGAGAAAACTTTTTAATTTATCATCTTTGTTCTTTTTCAGATTATAACTGGATCAGAGGATGGGACTGCACGAATATGGGGTAACATCGCTGTTCTTATTTTCAAGTGCTATAGAGAGCTAGTTTGCTGTTACATTGCCTTATTCTTTCCTAGCTTCATCTTAACAAAGTGCCCACCCTGAAATCTGAGTTTTCTTCGATTAGTTACTTATTTTACAGAATGTGCCCACCCTAAAATTTTATTTATACACATCCCATTTAAAAATTTTATGTTGTTAACATATGTTTGTCCACCCTAAAAAATATTTTTGGATCTGTCACTGATTGTAACCTTACTATTATATGGTTTTTACATAGATTGCAAAAGTGGAAAGTGCACTAAAGTAATTGGCACAGTAAAGAAGTTGAAGGGGTTCGTCTCTTGTGTTGCATTGCCCTCGATGCAAGTGAGAGCTGGTTGGTAAGACCTTGGTGAAAAGTTTTTATATTGTTTTTAGTAAAAAATATCATACAATTATGAATAATGCTAATCCCGTTGAAGATATATAGCGTTACAGAAAGTTAAGAAAGGCCACTTAACTGGAGGTTTTGACCATAAAACCGGGTTACATTATTCTCTTATACTTGAGCAAATGAAATCTGGTGCTTACTTTTTTACTGTGGGGTCTTTGGAGCACTTAGGCTTTGCTTAGTAGAGTGGAAAGAAAGTTGGAAGGATGGAAAACTAAAGACGTAGAAAAACAGAGAGATGATAAATTAAATTTTTCTTTCCATTGGCGTCCTCGGTAGGAAGGATGTAAAATTCATTGCTTCGTAGAGTTGAAAAAATTGAGGAAAGAAAATTAATTTTTGAAAAATAGATATCTTGAAAAAATTAAGCTTTGGAAAATAGATATCTTGAGCTAACTCACACTGTCTCTCATCTTTTCTATCAAACTAGAGTGATTTGTTTTTACAAATGAGGACGGAAATTGATCGTCTTTCTCAGTTTTCCCCCACTTTTCTTTCTTACCAAGCACACTCAACAAATTTTTTCTTCCCACTTTTCCACTCTCTCGTTCCATCCTTCCATTTTCCCACTCAACCAATCAAAGCCTTAGTGAAAGATCTTTCAAATCCTTTCAACCATATTGACTTCTATCGGTCATTCCCAAGTGGACATGTTTTAATCAAGATTTGAACCACACAGGTTTGTGGCATCGGCCAAAATTTGGCAGTCTGGAATCTCACTGCTTCTGAATGCATTTCGAGTATTTCCAGTGGTGCAACTATACAAGATGCAGTGTTTGATAACCATCAAGCTTTCTCAGGCAGCGCTAACACACACAATATTGTTCTTAGACAGACTTATTCATCTGTTATTTCTACCTAACAATAGTTAATATCGAATATGTTGCTATTTCAGATATTAGCTGTTGGTGCATACCCCGTACTGAACCGTTTCGATATGAACGGAACCATACTTTCACAGATACAATATGCTCTTCAGTCAGCATTTTCGGTCTCCTTGCACCCATCTGGTGTATGTTCCATTCTCCTTTTTTTTGATGTATTAATGGTTTTTTCTTTTGAATTTGTGATCAACATTTTTTTCTGGTCAGGTTACTGCAATAGGTGTGGTTATGGGGGTATTGTAGATGTGATATCACAGTTCGGAAGCCATTTGTGCACCTTCCGTAGCCATTGTGTTTGATAGCTTTATTTAGATGCAAGTCTTCACCATAATGTTCTTTAATTTCCTTTAATTTAAATGGTTTATTCAACTCATTTGTGTGATAAATTCTCATGAAATTTGATTATGTTCTTTCAATTCATGTTTTCACCATTCCATAATACATTGGTTATTATTATTACTCCATGTGTCCCATTAAATTTTGTCATTTTTATGTTTTAAAATTGGCCTACTTAAATTGTTCTTTTGAAAAAAAAAAATCAACAACTTTTATTCGGTATATTTCCTTTTGTACTTTTTTTCAGTTTCCCAATAAAAGAAAATTTAATTTTTTTAGAATAAAATTGATGTTTTAATTTTTTTTACGACACCTCTTACATAATTTTTTTTTTATCTTAAAACTACGTGAAAAGACAACAATGGATAATATAAATAGGATAGATGGAGTAATACGTAATTAAATATGTTATTATTTATTACCAAATAATATATTATATAAAGTGATCAAGTTGATAGAATTTTAAAAATATTGAGGATTTATTGAATCATTTTGAATTTAAATTAAAT